GGATCAGAAGAGAACATGGGGTGCACTGTGGGGGGATCAGAAGAGAACATGGGGTGCACTGTGGGGGGATCAGAAGAGAACATGGGGTGCACTGTGGGGGGAACAGCAGATGACATGGGGTGCACTGTGGGGGGATCAGAAGAGGACAAGGGTGAGTAGGCAAAAACAAGCACTTAACCCTTGCAGGATTAATAAGTTCTTCTTTAAAGGGATACAACATGGAGAAATATGTATGGTAGAGAGGTCTTTTTTTTTTGCCTTGAGATTTGCTTCAGGACTGACGCAGGAGCTTTTAAACGACCCCCACAGCAGTGGTTCCTCCTGTTGGCCTCAATGTCACTTGAGATCTGAGGGGGACTAAGGAGATGGGCATTCCCAGAACTGTTGGTTTCCCAGCTGACTTTTTTTTTACACATGTAACCCTACTTAGATGTTTTGGTTTTTAAGAGGTGGTCTCTTTAAAAGCTGTTTCCACAAATATACCTGAGGCAGTGCACATGTACACTTTCCAAAAAAGCTTGAAGTGTAAATACACCTTTGGTGCAGTTATACCCCCATCCCCGCACCCTAATTGTCCCTGATCCAGAGAAATATGGATCATTAGACCAGAGAGCCACTTGTCAAAATGTACCCAGCCAAGCCTGTGCATGCATTCTGCACACTTATGTATTCCTGTGAACCTCCAAATGTGTGTTCAGAACCCATAGGAATGGAAGGGGTGTGCAAAGTACATACTCAGGCCTTGCTGGGAACATTTTGACAAGTGGCTTTGTAGTCTAGTTGGCGATACGCTTACCTTTCTCAGACCCAGCTTTATAGGAAGCGAGCTTGGACTGGGGACCAACCAGATAAGTGGAACCAAATCGAAGTTCACTAACATTTTATAGGCATGAACACTGCGTTTACATCAATTCATTTTCACTGGATCTATTGGTGGATGGTAAAATATTATAGTATTTTATGATCCTGTATACTCCTTATGTCATTTATTTTTGTTATATTTGTTTCATTTCTGTATTTTCCTTCTATGAAAAGGCTCTGTTCCTGTGCAAGCACTTTATTAAAGCGTTTTACCACATATGTTTGGTTTTCTTGGCAGTTCAAGAAAGTTGTTTTACTATGACCACCCTTCAGAGCAGGGATGAGCAACTCTGGTGTTCTATCAAAGTTTGTTACTGCGTTAGAATGTGTGACCGGTGACGTGCTCACACATTTTAACCTAATCCTGCCCAGTTTTTTTGCGGTGTAATGTGTGACCGGTCACGTGGTCACACATTTTAACGTGACCCCGCCCACTATCTCTGCGGTAAAATATGTGACCGGCAAAAGGTGTAGAATTCCAGCTGTTGCAGGGCAGATCGGCATTGCAGATGGTATGTGCAGGAGAACCGATCTGCCCTGCAACAGCTGATCAGTCCTGAAATGTCACGTCTATCCGACTTTGTGAGTGCGATCTGACATTTCTCAAAGGCGGATAGAAGTCGCATTTCAAGACAGATCAGCTGTTCCAGGGCAGATCGGTTCTCCTGCACATCCAATCTGCAATGCCGATCTGCCCTGGAACAGCTGACAAAGCGTTTGAATTCTTCACATTTTACCGGTCACATATTTTATCGCAGAAAAAGTGGGCGTGATAAGGTTAAAATGTGTGACCATGTGATCGGTCACACATTTCAAACCAGTCACCATTTTTGATAGAACACTGGCCCTCCAGCTATTGTGGAGCTACAGGTCTTATGAGGCATTGCAAGACTGACAGTTACAGGCATGACTCCCAGAGGGCAGAGGCATGCAGGGATTTGTAGCGGGCCAGAGTTGCCTACTCCTGCCTATGCACTAGATCTTGGGAGTAGGAGGCAGTTCTGTGAGAGGGGACCGAACAGCTCAGACCTCCCCTGTCATTGCCAATGTCTGTTAGCCCCCAGCACCACTTTATGCAGTTATTATTATTGTTGCTGCATAATAATGACCCCTAATATTTCCCCAAAGCCCCTAAAAGTAAAAAATATTTACTAAAAAATGAATAAATAAATATAAAAAATGTAAAAGTTTATAAAAAAATAAATGAAAATAAAAAACATTTTCGGTTTCGGCCTGACAATTTGTTTTATTTC